GCAGTTTCCCTCAGAATCGAGGCCTATTCCCTGCAAATTTATTTCAGGACTGACTTGGAGGGAATGTCAGAATTTTTGCAAGGACAATAGGTCGCGGTTCCCCTCAGAACCGAGGCTGAAAGACATATACTGCCGCGATTCTGTTGCAACCGAGGTCTATACTGTCGATATAATTTCAAAAATGCCACTGCGCAATATTATGCTTTGGGTTCTGGTGAACCGATGCATAATGTGCATGGTAATAAATCAATTTTTTACTAGTGAAAGCAACTATCAACTATATATTTATAATATTATATATAATGCTTCTTATATTTAGGATAAAAAATATTCTCACTTATTTTTTTTTAAATTAACTCATATTTACTAAAAATTATAAAATAATATTAAACTTATTTAAAATAATAATATTTTCTAAAATTTTCTTAACTATAATATATATATATATATATATATATATATATATATATATAATGACAGTTGGAATTTTAATTTTGAGACTAAACTCTTCCTATATTCATAAAAGGAATTATTTATACCATTTGTTATTTACAAATGAAAATAATTAAGGTATTTTTGTAATGATTTAGAAAATAATATTTTAGAATAGATGACACTTTAAAAGAGACTTAATTATTTCTAATATTAAGAAAATTTAATATAAATATTTTTGTTATAAATGATTTTTATTATTTTAAAAGACACAATTTTTCTATAAACTAATACATTTGTCTATCTTATCTCGTTCCTAGTCCATTTGATTGAAGATTAAGACAATAGGAGTGATCATTTTGTGATAAACTGTTCAATTTGGATCAATCAATTTCTTTAATAGTGTAAGTCGAGTTTTTTTGTCATTTTCTCTTGATCCAATCTGTTTTGTTCTTGCATGCAGTCCTCTTTTGGTCGTATGTGTCATTTAAGTTATTAATATGAGTCTATTGATCAATATGCCTTGATTTTTGTGATATTTTTATTTGGAGATAGAATAACGTGTAGAGTTAAAAGTTTTTTTGAGAATTTATATATGTTGAGATTTTTACAAGTGAATGAAGCTAATTCTCGCATTTAATTTGTGTTTTTATTGAAATAGTTGGTTGTGATTTTATATGTTGTGAACTTAGCACTTAGAATTTTGCTTAGGTACTACACTTTATTTGCTAAATCTGTCATATAAGATATAATTAGGTGATGCTAAATTGTGTTGTTTGATGTGTTTGGTGTAAGACAAAAAGAAAAATATTTTCATGAGATAAAATAAATAATACATAATAATATATATTAAAATTACTATTATTATATTAAAATGTTGTTGATAGTTTGTTTGGTTAAAAGCCTTTTTTTTTAAGGTGAGATATTGGTTCAAGTCTTACATTTATGTTTACTTTTTTAATTACGTGTAGAAATGTGAAAAGCTCCTATAAAATGGTAAGTAGGACAAAGAGATGCAGTTATATATGTGGAGACTGGACTTTAAGGTGACATACTCTAAATGCATTTATAGAATATACTCTTTGTATAATTGGTGTTATGATATGAGTTTAAAACTTATTTTTTTTATTTGTATAATTGGTGTTATTATTTGAGTTTAAAACTCATTTTTTTATGTAGATAATTGGATTTTAGTTTTCCGTGGAGATCTAATAGTATTATATAATTATAGATATAATGGTTATTTAAAAATTTGTGTGCTAATATAATGTGAAAGAATTGGTGGATAATGTGCAATATATACGTGAGTTATCCTGGTTGAATGAAAAAAAATCACGTGGTTATAGTGCGTTAAAAGGTTAGACTCTTGAAAGCATTTGTTTTTTTTTGGGTAAAGCGGATAATAATGATAGGTAGTGATAAAATTTTTATTTGTTTTTTTAGTATGAGTTTTAAAGGGACTTATAATAAAAAAAACTATATATATATATATATATATATATATATATATATATATATATATATATATAGGTAGTAGTGTATTTATGGGGCCAATGTATCATGTAAGTTTTCTCTGACTTCACGTGGTTAGACGGAAAGAGTTTCCATTCCATCCTATAAATCTTCCAAAGGAACTGCTGGTTTTCCTTTACCAGGCCATGAGAGTTTTCTTGAAAATAATGATTCTATCAAAATGTTACAAACTGCAATGCAGGCTTACCAATTGGTGGTCAGTTTTAAACGATATGGAGCATATATGTGTTTAAAATAATGTCTTTAAACTGTGAGAGAGAGAGAGAGTACATGAGAGAATGGCAACTTCAGAAGAAGATTGCTTGGAATAACTGATTAAGAAATATATTAGAAATTTTTATATTGTAAAACAACACATCAACATGGACAGAAACCTTTTCAGGAAATTTTGCTTTCAGAAACCTTTTCAGGACCATTTTCTTCTCTGCACTTCTTTGAGAAGTCAACACACCAACATACAGGATCAGCCACTGAAACAGTATGCAACTGGTATATTGAACACATAATAAAGAATGTTTTAGGTGTACTAAGTCAGGGGTGCAGGGTGTTATTTTAATTGTATATTGCATGTATAATGATGCGAGTTTAACTTATGTGGTTGTTTGATAATATGAAATGAAATGTGTTATTACGAATATAATGCCTGCATATATGATGTGATGGTGCAGATGAGAAGCATGAGTCTAGCAAGAGGTGGGGGAGCTTTAGGAGTTGACTCTAAAGACTTTAGTTGTGATATCTAGGAGAGTAACAAGAATTGGTGTATCTCGACCAAAGGTGAGGGGCCTCTGGGAGCTAACCTTGAGGGGGCTCCAGAGCTGACTTTGAAGACTCTAGTTGTGGTTTTTGAGAAAGCAGTAGGGAGTGATGCGTCTCGATCAAAGGTGAGGTGGTTTTGGGAGATGACCTTGAGGACTCCAACTGTTGTCTCTATGAGAGCAGCAAAGAGTGCTAAACTCGACGTAGTTGTATTGGAGGTGAACTTTGTCAGGGAAGCTTTCTACCTGTGATGATTGTATGACTTCTGTTATACATGAAAAAATATTGTAGATGGTGGTTCAAATGCACAATAATGAGGAACTTGGAGATTTATTTGAGGATGCATTTTCTTTTATTTTAGATGTATTTTGGATAAATTTTAATTAATGAATATTTATAGGCCAAAAAGTTTAAGTAAGTACTAAAAGAGCTCATAAATAAGGTATTTATAGGCCAAGGTTCGAGAAAGGGCCTAAAGCTCAAGAGTTAGCTTCCAACTACTAGAGATAATCGATTATTTTAACTAATAATTAATTATTCTAAAAAATTAAAAATATTTTTTTCTTGAGATAATTGATTATCCCAAGTGATAGTTGATTATCCAAAAAATTATACGAGTTTTTTTTCCTAAGATAATCAATTATCCCAAGTGTTAATCGATTATCTGTGAACCTTTAGCAAATTGTGTTTTTCGAGGATAATCGATTATCACCTGTGATAATCAATTATCTGCAAATAAAAATGTTTCTAATGTTTCTTGGGATAATCGATTATCCCAAGTGATAATCGATTATTCTAGTAATTGTTCTAAAAATAGAGCATTTTATTTATCATGTGAGTTCTCTACTCTAATCACTACAAGAAATATTAGAATTATATACGGATTATTATATACGAATATAAATCCGTATATAATTTAAATATTTTATACGGATATTATATACGGATTTTAAAAAAAAATTACATACAAATATTATATATGAATTTTCCATATAAAGTAGGTGCGTGACGGCGGGAAAATTTCATAAGATATATCCCAATGTAATTTCCATTAACCGTATGTAAGTAGAATAAAATATGTTATATACGGATTTCAAAAATAATTTAAAAAAAATGTATTTTTGATTAATTAGAAGTTGAAACCTATAATTCACTCTTTGCTATCCCTCTCGAACCGTCGAGCTACTCTCTCTGAAAACCTCGAGCTATGTCTCTCCTCGAACCCTCGAGTCCTTTCTCTCTCGAACCCTGGAGCTCTCGCCGTCCCTCTCTCGAGCCGTCTTCGCTCTCCCTGTCCCTCTCTCCAGCCCTCTTCACAGTCCCTGTCCGTCGTGCTCTGCTTCTGTGTCCCTCTCTCTCTGTCGAAGTGTCCGTCGTGTTCCGGCATTCACCAAGGAATCTCCTTGTTCGTCGGGTGTCGTAGTTGGACGCTGAAGGAGGTATCTTCATCTGGTAGTAAAACCCTAATCCTAATGCTTAGTAATCGATGAAATCGTTAATCGCGAACCACTAATCTTTTCGTTTTTGTTTTATTTGACACATTTGTGGTTGGTCTCGCAAGCCGTGGTTGGAGTGTTAGGAAGCATCGATTGAGGCTAGTTTGTGGTTTGGGGTTAAGAAGATTGTCAGTGGTATGTAGAACTGGAGATATACCATTGATTATGAAGGCCCTTAGTGAAGGAAAACAAAGGTGAGTGAGTCCTTTGCCTTTTGAAGTTTCTTAGATGCAGAAAAAATGTTTGTAATGTGTTCTTTTGCTTCATTTGCTTAATATATGTTGTTATGGGTTTTGTCTTTCTGCCAGATTTAGATCCATCGTGGTGATATAACCGCCTTGGTTATTTGCCTGTATAGAGAAATTGAATGCTTTTCTAATGTTTATGACGCAATGCGTTTGTAATTAATGAGTGTATTAATTTTTTTATAATAAAAATTATATGCTTTGGCCTGCAATGGATTGGTAGTTCACTGTTGATGGGGGATCCGTTAATTACTCAGTTGATTCTTTGTGATGCGGTGTGCAGGGGACTCTATTGTTGGGGATGCAGGGGACTCTATTGTTGTTGCCATGTCCTTTTCCACACATGCTTAACTTGGCCAAATTGGCTGAAGAGGTCCAGATTTCTCGTCGTCGAAGGAACAAGGTGAAGAAAGGAGATGTTACAGATGAGAACAATGCAACTACAGAATCAAACATTGAAGAAACTCTCAAGAAACTTGTATTTGGCTTGAAGAAGTCTCCTTAGGAAGTTTTTGATGGCATTGGAAAACCACGAACTGTTGATCTGGTTCTTACTACTCATCCTACTCAATCAATTCGTAGATCTTTGCATCAAAAGCACGCAAGGTTTGTACAAAAGTATAATGTTTTTCAGCTTCATAATTCAATTTTATATTTCCTTTGTTTAAGTTGGTTCAGGACACAAAATTGAGCTTTCTGGTTTTGATCTGCATTGTAGGATAAGGAATTCTGTCTAAATTTTATGCCAAAGACATAACTCCTGATGATAAGCAGGAGCTTGATGATGCCTTGCTAAGGGAGGTAAGTATCAAAACACACCTAGGATTTATCTTCGTTGGTTAGCAACTGCATTAACCACGCGACTTTGTTTGGAGTTTATTCGAGAAGAAGGAAATGTTCAAGGTGAAAAGAAACAAAAGGCTTCGTTGAAAGTTTTATTCTTAACCTCTATAGGTTAATGCTGTTGAAGTTTTATGAGGGATGTTAAAAACAAGTGATGGGCTTATTATCTAGCACTCAAGGATCAAATCCAAAACCAAGATGCATCGTGATTTTGGGGTTTTTAAGAAAACCTATGGCTATCGCTATGCACATATAATTAACTCATCTGTTGTTTTTATTTGAAGGTTGTATCCCAATGCACAAAAGGTAGGATCTGATAAATAGTAATGACATGATTTCCTTTTACAATAGCTTGTTTGAGGAGGAAACTTACACAAGTACAACGATTTACAACTTTGACCACCCTGGTAATTCAATTCTTGGTCATTTCTAACATTCTGTTTCATATTAAAGTATAATGGAATGTTCTATGGCCTTGTCTCTTTTATTAATTTGCATTTTTATTAATTTTGAGAATGAGGCAAAAACATTTGTTCATTTTCATGTTTTGTTATTCTAGTAAATATATTATGACTCGTTAACTAAAGCTACATGTTAGTGAATTAAAAACATTAGTTAATGATAATGCATGACAATGTAAAATAGTTTTCTAGTCTTTTATTCATTGCAGAGTGAAGGAGAAAACATGATGGCCGTGTGGAGCCCTGATGCCAATTAATGTTGTTATTCTTGTAAGTTTGCTAGTCTTTTGATACATATATAAGATATATTCTATGAATGACCAACTTTACATTTAAGTAGAAATCTTCAAGTCATATTCATCTTCCTTATACATCTATATTTTCCGTTTGCAGACATCTACCTTCTTTCTTCATAGTTTCAAAGTCCATTCTCAGATAAAAGAATACACACTGGTGGTAGACAATCCTCTGCTTTCTACCTAGCTATAATTTCTCTTCTGCTTACAGAGCAAGTTCCTTTTGCAGTAAAGGATTTGTATGTGTGAGTTTCCTTCTCGTTTTAATTTTATAATTTTCTTCATCTATATGAGATGAAATCAAATTGATTGAAATAAAAACTATTAAACTACTAATGGTATGTAATGTGGAATGTGAATTGAATAGGATTTTTCTTAGTAATTAAAATTATAATATCGTCCTTTTTATGAAATTATGTTTCAAGAACTAAATTAGTTGAAAGAACTAAATTATGTTTCAAGAACTAAATTAGTTTAAAGGTAAAAATATAAAAGCAGCCACCTAAACTTAGAAGTTTTACTACTGGTATGTATGTGGGAATGTGGAATTGAATAGGATTTTTTCTTAGTAATAAAAATTATATATAGTCCTTTTATGAAATTATGTTTCCAAGGAAAGCTAAATTAGTTTAAAGAACTAAAAAATATGTTTCAAGAAATAAATTAGTTTAAAGTAAAAATATAAAGCAGCACCTAAAACTTAGAAGTTTTCTCATTATGATACAACTTTTTCTTTTTAATATTTCATAATAAAAACTGATAGATTTTTGCATGTGATTGATAGAGTTTATAAATAAAACCTGGTCACAAAACTCTGTGAGTGAACAAATATTACTCATAGATATAGTTTGACATGTTAGTGATGCTTCTTACTCCTTGAAATCCTTCATTCTTAATGACAAATACATATATGTTACTACTGTTCTGTTTGACCCTTACATTATCATAATGTCAGGTTCCATAGTCTAACCACATTCTTTGATAGAATTGAATTCTATCTTATTTATAATAATTGACTTGGATTTGAGGTAATCATTGCTAATAATTAAATGCAAACATTGATGGCCACGACAGCGTAATGGAAGATTGGACTTCACACATATAAAGTTCTCTTCTTCTTTCCTTTTTCAAATGTTTTAGGAAATATTTTTACTTTTAGGTGCAAATTAAGTTTAGTAATATTCAAACTCTATATTGTATATATTGTACAAGGGCCGGTTTGTTTTGAAACTCTATTTATAGTCTTTTAATAAAAAAAATTTTATGTTTTAATTATTTGTTTAAGCATAATTATATATTATAAATTCTTTACATTTGTTGAAAAAGTTGAAACTAATAGCACCTAACTTATAATATATTGTAGTTATCTTTAGTCTATAACATGCATTTCCTTCTAGTCTATAAAACAATTTATGCATTTTCCCTTTAAAATCTTGCAACTTTAAAGGAGCACATTTCATAGTCTTTAGTTACATTTGTGAATATGTCTTTGTATAATACATGTCTCAAGAGTGTTCAAGTAATGTGGTCTATTTTATATTTGCAGGTGTTAGAATTTTTTAAACAAGTCGGCATTGGTGCCCAAAGAATGGAGGTGGGATGGTTCAGTCAATGAAGACTCCAAGTGGTAAATTGTAAACCTGTTTGGTTCACTTTTTTTTCAAAATACTAGAGTTCTAAAAAACAAAGAAAAAGTCGTTTTGCAGCTTTGTTTTCTCCATACAACTGATTCAATTATTTTTAAATGAGAGAAAAAAGGAGGCTAGAATGTGCAACTTATTCTAAAAAACTATTCAGTCAGTTTTCCTTTCTTGTCTAAAAACCCACTTTATTTCCCTGCCTTCTTTTATGATCAGCTCCCTAATTCGGGAAGAGTTTTTCACCATTTTTTAAGTAGAGGAAGAAAAACTAGGAAAAAAAAAAAGCTAAGTCAAGCAAACTAGTAAGGTCTTGTCTGCTGCCATTATTTCAAAGTGATAGAACTATTCCTCGTCTACATTTGTGTAATGCATAATTCTAGCTACATTTCCCTTTAATTCCTAAGCAACTTAATTGTTACTTGTCAGTAAAGAACCTAATTTGCACCAAGCCATTCTCTTTGGGACCGATGAAAAAAAATAATGGAAGAATTAGTTTTTTATGGTATTATGATTGTTTGCTTTTGTTTCTTCTGCATAGGTTTGACACACTTATACATTAACTTGGGATTATTGTCTTCAATGACAAAAAATTCACTGTGTTGCAGAACACTTGACAATGAGGATGGAAGGAAATTACATTCCAAACAGTGACTTTGACGAATCTGAGTATCAGCTTGATCCGTTGCCAAGTACCTCATTTGTTTGTGATATTTGTATGGATAAAATTAGTTACAAAAAATGTAATGTTTCTTCATTCTTCTTTGTTTCATAAAATTGGAGTGTAATCCTGAAATGAAAGTGGTTTGAGTATCCATGTAATGAATAAATGATGATGCTAACATGTATCTATGTTATGTCAGTTTTATACAAGTTTTGCCCATCACTTGCAACTTCATTTTATGATTTTGTAAGTTAGTTTTATGATAAAGGCAAATCATCTTGTATATCTTGAACTTTAGTTATTTAATATGTAAAAAAAAATAATAATTATGTTTGTAATGTGCAAAGAAGATCAATTTGTCCTTAAATTATACAATATGATTGAGATATTTTTTACATATCTAACAACTAAATATAATTTTACTCTTTACCAAAACTTTTTAATCACTATATTATCACCATTTATATTGTAAGTTTCTTTGTTTTTAAAGCTTTTTATTTTTTTACAATTAAAATTATTTTTTTTCTCTATGTATGTTACATACGGATTTATCCAGTATGTTAAAAAAAAATTTTTTATGTATTATATACAGATTTTTATATACGGATTTATCCGTATATAAATTATATACAGATTTATCTGTATATAAATTATATACGGATTTATCCGTATATAATTTATTATACGAATATCCGTATATTAATTTAGCTACGATGATTTTATATACGGGATTTTTGTCGTATAATAAGTCGTAGTAACCAAGTGTTATATCGGATTTTGGGTCTTATATACGGATTTTGGTTGTATGTAATTCAACTTTTTCTTGTAGTGAATGACTTAACTATTACAACCTTAAATAAAATAAAATCTTTAATAGATATTTATACAAGCATATAATTGTCGCTTAAGGTCTTTGTGCTCTTCATCATCAAATACTTTTTAACCTTTGCATAAACTTATTGCCAACAAATGTTACTTGACTAAACTCAACATTTGGTTTAGCTTAATAAGAGTCTACTCACATCCATTATTCTAATCCAAAGGTAGATCATTGTGGATTAATTATGTCAAGGAAATACTATTTTAGAAAACCCACCAATGAATCTTCTACAATGTTAACTAAACTCGTAAAACTTTGAATTATTGAAATTGTGTTGGGACACTCTCACTAATGAATTTGCTCTAACTTAGAACGATTAGTTGAAATCCATATAAATGAGATAACATGTCCCAACAATTGAACTTCTAACATCCATGACTCACATTTAGACAACTTAAAGTATAATCGTCTCTCCCTGGGAATACCCAATATTGTTCTTAGATGTTGCTCATGTTTGTCACAAGTTTAAGAGTTGATAAGTTCTATGAATACCACAACAAACCTATTGTTTGTCTCAACGCTTGGTATCTTTAGAAGAAAAACTTAATTGTTAAACGCTACCTCAATGGTAGAAAATGAAAAGCACTTTGTTGTGTCGAGCAAGCATTAAATGACATCAAATGCTTAACATTCAAAAACAAAGTGATAGGAGATAAGACATGTCTGGTGCATGCATAATCTACTCATTTCTTCGCAGATAACCTACTCTACACGCATCCACATGCTTTATTCAAATATCAGAACTGGACGTTTGAGACAAAAGAGATATTCACGAAATGTTCTTCATTGAAGAAGCAATGTCTAAAAGAAAGTACAACCTACTTCAAGCAAAGTACTGAAAAAGCAAGCTTGCTTTGACAAATTGACTTTAACTAATGACTGTTGTACATGAAGAACGAGAAGACATAAGAATCAAGGCTAAGAGCTCAGTGTAACGAATATTTATCCACAAGCCTTTAAATAGAAGAACATTCAAAGCAAGAATCAAGAGGATAACATAAAACAAAAATATGCATCATGAGGAAAAC